CACACACACAGGGAGGGAGGAGAGAGAGAGACAGAGAGAGACAGACACACAGAGAGAATGACAGAAAGAGAGACAGAGGGAGGGAGGGAGATAGAGGCAAAGAGCCATACAAAGAGTGAGAGACAAACAGAGAGAGAGAGAGTGGGGACTGAAGTAGTGTTTAAGCACAGAAGGAGGATTTAAAAAACTTCGGAGTGAATCCAGGAAGAGGGAAGAGATGGAGGACTGGCTTTTCGCTCCGATTCCTGAGCCCCCAGCTGTTAGTGACGGAGGAGGAGGAGGACGAAGGAAGGGGTTGCATTTTGTCAGGCTGACAGCTCATTCCTAGATCGGGTTCCCCTGTCTCTCCCACCACTTCTGTGCAAGATATCAGCAGCCCCTGGGCTGCGAGCTCCTCCCACTACGGTAAGCCAAAAGGTTCTTTCTTGTTGGCCAGAAGGTTCAATCCTGTCGCCTCGTTCCTTTGAGTGAGGTTTCTCGAGGAGGGGGAAAACAGGATGCCGCCTGTTTTCGTTTTTGGGGAGGTGGAGCGGTGAGCCTTCCGGGGAATGTCAAGGGCTGAGTCCTAACAAGGATAACGGGTGGGGAGGCTTTGGGGACTCTTTTCCTATAAGCTCGGTGAGTTGGGGGCTTGTTCGCGCGGGGCACCTTCTCTGCGCTTGGTTTAATCCTCAACCCCAGCTCAGGAATTTGGGGTTTTCTTCAAGAGAACCACCTGTTGGATAGGCTTGAACGTGGGAACAAGGAATTGATGGTCTGGGACTGAAAATCATGATTTCTGAGAATCCTTCCCTGGTGAACTTCCTGGGCTCTCATGGTGCTTGGGCTGGTATCATTTTTAAGGGGTTCTGGACAGAGCATCCTCATGTGGCGGATATTGGAGAGGAGTTTCTGATATATCTCAGCAAACCATCTAACCATGAGTGAAAGATTATTAGAATGCTAACATGTCCGTTCCTCCCCCACATCCTTTTGTGGCTAAATTTTTGCAAGGCAAGAAGAACACAGTTTTGCTAAGCTCCCCAAGCCCCAGTGTAAGCGAAAAGGGTGGAGAGAATGTCCCTTATTTTCCCACCCTCCAATTTATATAAAAGTTTCGAAAAACAATCATCAAAAGCTGCGCTGCTGTCTCAGCTAAGCCACAAGGAACAGCAAAGAATAATTTTCCCCTCTCTGCCAGCGAAAGTGTGATTAAATGACTTTTGGAAATATACCTCTCGGCAGAAGAATTTGATTAATGTGGTGGATATCACGAATGATAACTGTGTGAACAGATGTTCTGAGACTGAATAACATGTAAACCAGTATAATCTCCCAGTGTATAAACAGAAACATTCTTTGTCATTGAGATTATTTTGACATGGAAACTGCTTTGGTGATTTGTGTGGGATCAAAGCTAGTTTAGCAAGGGCTTTGGGAGGGATTTTAGTTTTTTTCTTGCTATTTAAAAGCAATCCCTTTTGATTTTTGTGGGGTTGGAGACATAATTCTCCATTTACCCCCAACAATCTAAGTCAGTGTTTCTCAACCTTGACAACTTGAAGATGTCTGGACTTCAAGTCCCAGAATTCCCCAGCCAGCAAATGCTGGCTGGGGAATTCTGGGAGTTGAAGTCCAGACATCTTCAAGTTGTCAAGGTTGAGAAACACTGACTTAGATTGTTGGGGGTAAATGGAGAATTATGTCTCCAACCCCCCCCCCAAAATGAAAAGGGATTGCTTTTAAATAGCAAGAAAAAAACTAAAATCCCTCCCGAAGCCCTTGCTAAA